TAAGCGCAATAGATAATGTATTATGAATATTGCCAAATTAATTAAATAACTCATACCAACAAGGTCACGTTTGGGTCCCACATCGACAGCATTCCAGCCCCACGAGTGTTTGGAGGGCCACATAGTGAAGCCCTCGTGGTGTTTGGTAGTCATCACCACATACTTAGCACCCGCCGCCCTAGTAGTATATAGAATAAATATTATATTTATAATTAATTATCAAAAATATATACAAAATAAATATATTCTCACTTGAACAACTCGACCCACTTAGCCGGGTCCCATAATTCAGCGGTAAACTGTGGTCCAAAATCTTGGTAGGTGAAATCGGGTTTATAATTTTTGGTCATAAAGTCGACGACATTTTTTTGCTTTGTAGCCGCCCAGGTGTAACTTTACAAAAAAAATGTCAAGTTTATAATAAAATAATTTTTAAAAATGTTATCAAGCTCCTACCAAAACCATTCGCTGTCAAACGCGGGTACGGAAAATACGCCCCAATGTATGAAAATGCCAACTTTAGCCTCGTCGTACCACCCTGGTAGTGGGCGTTTATCTAGTGAGTCCCATTTGGCATCGTATGTTATATTGACAATAATACATGAGCTATAATGTGTAAACAATAATAGCAATACTGATGTTTGTATTAACATTATTGTTATTTTTAAACTGGAGCAATAATTTTAAAAAGTTGAAATTATATTTTATTTTATATTTGTACAAGGCTTTTTATATAACAATGTTAATCAAGGTATTTTGTTTTTGGATTATTGTTTGTCGATGATAATTAATACAGAATTTAGTTTATTGATAAAAATTAATTATTATTTGATTAGATTAAATGAACAAAACACAATTTGTATTTGACATGTTAAAATAGTATCATGCAAATTATAAAAATATTAATATAAAAATTAGTATTAATATCTAATTAAGTTACATTTTAAATCTATATTATTATTATAAATTTAAAATCTAAATAAATATACAACTTCTAATTAACTATTTTTTTTAAATTTATTTTTGCAAATATATATTGTAACAAATGTACTTTTAATAAAAATTTTGCTTTTATCTAAAACAAAATATTTTATCTATTACAAAAAAGCAACTGGATTAACGGGATTATAAAAATAATTTTACTGGATATTGTTTTATATAAACTTAATATACAATACTTAATGTAGTCGTAGTTTATTTTTTATATCATAATATGCTATATGTTATCATCATAATTATATATATATATATATATATATATATATATATATTATATATTATATATA